TATCTATCTATCTATCTATCTATCTATCTATCTATCTATCTATCTATCTAAAGGCTTGTACATACTGTAACTTTCAAACTTCAGGCTCATACAGTATTTTCGTAATTAAATCGTAATTAATTTAATAGTATTTTTAAAAGGGAGTTTTTAATTTTATTTTGAAGATTCAAATTCTGAGTGTGGGCCAAGGGTAAAATAATCTACATATAAACACATTTGAGAAGTAGCACAACTCATTTTGAAGCCATTTAATGTGACCCTCATAACAAACAAAACCAACCCCTGGGACACAAAAAAGCAGTAGTTGAAGAAACACCCATAAATCAAGGAATAAATGTTTCCTTATTATGTTGCATTTCTTCCGATAGAACCTCAGGATCAAAGAATTTAAACAAGAAGTTGGGGGATATATTTTACATAATTTTCAGGTCAAGCCCAACTCTGTCACAAACCTGTGAGCACCCATGTTAATGCAGCTGATGCCGAGGTTGTAACGTGAGCGGATGAAGCCGGGCTGCAGCTCCAGGGCTCTGGTATAGGCCTCCACAGCCTCCTCGCTGCGATCTCCATTAGCCAGCGTCGCCCCCAGCCGATTCCACAGCAGGTAGTCCTGTACACACCAACGGCACAGTGTCATGGATCAAAATAATTAATGCTCTATGCTTGAAAGATTATGGAGTTACATGCAACTGATTTTTAATTCCATTAAGATATGATCTGCTCTCTTTCTTTTAGGGATAAAATATGACCTTTAAGTACAGTGACACTGCATAAAGCAGAGGTACAAAGAAGTTGCCTAGTTCTTAATGTCACAAGAGCCTGGTATCAGAGTTTCACTTCTACATTGCCATTATCTTTCATCGTATTCACGCTCTGAGCCCCCCAGCAGGCAAGCAGACATTACCAAGTCAAGCAGATGGGGAGGATTTCGATTGAGTGTAAATGCAGTCTACACAAGGGGACAGAATTTGGCTTAGCAAGCATCAATCGTCGACAAGGTGACCCACAGGGTTCTGGAGTCAGCGCTCATGAATGGTAAAGCTCCCCTCAAGTTTCAAATGAACTGTTTCAAAGATTTCTCTCTCTTTCCTTTGCCCTCTGCCTTTAGGGAGCGTATCTGTATGATTTAGCCCCAGTTTGTCAGTCGAGTACACTGAGGAATGGTTTACCTCCGGCCGCACTGACAGCGCTGCGTTGAAGGCTTCCACAGCTTTGTTGAACTCGGAGCTGAGGTTATACAACACTCCCAACCCTGTCTGCAGGTCTGGGTCGATAGTGTCCGAGTTGTGCTGGGCAGCTTCCAGGTACAGGTCCTTCACCTCAGGCAGCAGGGGGCTGGAGATAAAGACAGAGAGAGCTGAGAGGCTGAGAGAGAAGCATTGCCCTTCAGGGACGTCCCTACCAGCAACATCATCAAAATGTGTCATTTAATAGCTAAGAAAAAGAGAAAGGGGCTCTCTAGAGATTTATGTTGTTGGTACCAAAAATATTCCATTTAGTAGGAATGGGTGTTAACACGGGGTTCAGATTAGTCACATAAAAATTAAGTTGAGAAAATAATTAAAATACATGACCACCATCCTCTTCAGGCAACAGTAAAAGTTATAAGCCTCTATGTACAAATATATAGGTTTGCAGGACATAAAAAATAAGATGAAGTTTGATGTAGATTTTTTTTTATTTGTTCAATAATTTTTCAACTTGTTTGATGTTTTAGAATAAATTTCCTTTTTTTTTTTACTTAATAATAATAATAATAATAATAATAATAATAACAACTGAGTGCTAAAAGTAATTGCATCAAATCAGCATTTTAGAATGATTTCTGAAGGATCATGTAACACTGAAGCCATAAGTAATATCTGCCGAAAACTCAGCTTTGCCATCATAGAAATAAATTACATTTTAAAATATATTAAAATAGAGAAGAGTTATTTTAAATTGCAATAATATTTCACAATATTACTATATTTTTTATCAAATAAAATGCAACCTTGGTGAGCATAAGAGACTTCTTTCAAACACATCAAAAATCTTATACATACATTAAAAAACTTAATATATATATGAAAATATTTACTTGCAATTAGTTACTTTATTATTATTTAAATGATTATTAACATAAATTATATAAAAGGTGGCTGTTTGTTAGGTTTCAAATGATACAACAAACATTCAATATTAATATATATTGTTCAATATTAAGACAAAAGCATTTAGACACTTTCAAACATGAGTGGATCACTACATAAATCACACCTGTGGTCACTCTGCTAGAGAACCTGTTTGAACATGAAGGAAACCTTTTGCATCCACTAAAAATGACCTATTGGTTAAAAGGAACTGCAAAAATGGCCAAAACGTAAAGTCAATTCTGAAAGGTTAGCATAATTCATGTTCAAACCACTTGTTTGTTAATATTTTGTTTCCACAGTAATGAAATTCATACATTTTTTAACTTGAATATCAAAGCTGCTGTATATTCCAGGCATGGCACTGCATTCATCTGTAATCATACCAGCCTGTTATGGAGGGGAAGGAGGGTCTCCGTGAACCAGGTGAGCTCTGCAGGTGCGTGCGGCTCTTCAGAAGATACTTGTATTTGGGGTTGTGCCTTATCCAGCTCAGCAGTGCCTCAGCCGCTTCCTGCCTCATGCCCGTGTTGGTCAGGCTCACTGCCAGGGCCATGAGGGCCTGGAGGTTGTTGGGGTGGAGCTCCAGACACCTGCACACACATACAACAGGGAAGCATCTAAAGAACCGCTGCTTTTGATGGACACTAATTAGCTGTCTGCCATCATAATGAGAGGCAGATGCTTCCTGATTAGTGCTGGTTTTAATTCATGGGTGAATACTTGTGTCATCTCATGTGTCTGCAAATAAATATATTTCAGAAAACTAAAATAAACCATTTGCCCAGTTTCTGATGGAAGTCGCGTTCCCTGTTTAACAAGCGTAAGAAAACACATGGCAAGGGTGACATCTGGATATTGTTTATTACCGCACATTGGCTACACTTGCGCATCAAAAAATAAAAATGGAAATGTAACAATGCCAATTAAAAGCCTTTTACTAGGTTGACTTTATGACAGTCAGTAAACACATTTTCTCTTGTTGTCCATTAAAACAAAAGCAGTGCGCACTGCTAATGATTTATCTGCTTCATCCATCAGAAATTTCAGTTCTAAATTGATTTGATCTAATCAGATTTTGGTAAAAGTATACTCACCCCCTCCCAACCCTCCTGCCTAAATAAGATGCCAGCTGTGTCCCAATTCACATGCTTACACTATGTACTAAAAATTTTACTTCAATATTGCTTATAGGTAAGTTTTGTGGAACACACTGCTATAGACAAATTCCATTCCACATTTAAAGTTTTGCATCCTAACTTTACTATGTGTTGAACCGTTTTAATGTAGTTCTACTCTATTTCTACTCAATTAGTTCTAATCTTGCACAGCAACTGTGTGGTCCAACCACAGATGATACACCATTTTAAAATGACATCTTAAATTATGTTAGATAATATCAGAGAGACAGACATTATAAAAGCACTCTAATCAAAAGTGATGCGGATACATGGTACCAAAACACAGCTTTTCGAGTGTCACTGGTGATTAACACACATAGATTGGAGTTTTTTCACCCTGGTCGCTCAGAGGAACATTGTATGAGATTATGGCTGGCTGTTCTATCCAAAATGAATATAATCTCCCAAAGGCCTCTGTGCTTATGAAATGCAATTTTAATTGGATCACCGGGTTATTAGAGTAGCTCTTTATCTCGAGCAGGAGAGGGCACAGCAGAGAGCTTTGTCTCATTTGGTGTCACAGATAAGTAACCACATGGAGATGTCCGATTCAAGGCCTTCTTTAGGTCTGAATGAGGATTCAAGGAATATTTGGATTTGTAATAAACAAACCCATCATTAAGACGTTTTTAACTTATGACTTCAAACCATTGCTTCTGGGTAAAATGTGAGTCCTCTATCCATAATATTGCTTTCACCAGTGAAAAAGACATCTCGTCTGAATCAGGAGAGAAATATGCACAGATAAAGCATTGTTTATAAGCAAAAACAGTCCAAAACAGTTCTAAACAAATATATGTTATTGGATTTTGACATTTCCACTGGAGGAAGCGTTATTTTTGCATTTTGGCCAGAAGTGACAATTTAAAGGTAAAACGCCTTAATGATGGGTTTGTTTCTTACAAACACACAGCTTTTCACTTCACAAGACATTAATTGATGGACTGGAATTGTGTGGATCACTTGTGGATTATTGTGATGGTTTTATCAGCTGTTTGGACCCTCATTCTGACGGCACCCATTCACTGCAGAGGATCCATTGGTGAGCAAATGATGTAATGCTAAATTTCTCCAACTCTGTTCTGATGAAGAAACAAACTCATCTATATCTTGGAGTACAAATTTTCATTTTTGGGTGAATTACTCCTTTAACCTTAATCTTGACTTGACATTTATGGTGAGTATTTTAGGTTTATATCGGTACAATCAGCAACGATAAATGCAGTACTAGTACAAAACTCTGATCTGATGAAGAAACAAACTCATCTATATCTTGGAGTACAAATTTTCATTTTTGGGTGAATTACTCCTTTAACCTTAATCTTGACTTGACATTTATGGTGAGTATTTTAGGTTTATATCGGTACAATCAGCAACGATAAATGCAGTACTAGTACAAAGCAATGCATTCTAACTCCGCTTTGGCTTTATTTTTGCCATAAGCACTCAGTCGCATCCTAAGTGTGATGACTCAAACTTCATGAGCCAATCAGTTCCCTTTCAGTCAGTCACGTTCGACGTTACGTCAGTCGTGACTGACGAATTGGGATCTCGCCCGAGAGCCCAATCACCTTCGAGTGTTAACTAAACAAGCCAATGACAGTTGGCGTGCGTGTTTCGCAGCGCGGGTATAAAAGGAGAGCGCGTGCAAACGCACATCAGCTTTTCGCTTCGGAGCCGAGCCTTCTACAAGACAAATCTCCGCAAGTGTTTTGAAAAACAGCTGGCGTTGAAGCAGCGCTCGTGGATGAGTCATGTTCTCAGTGCGGGCACATGACCATCGCGATGTTGCGGTCTAAATACCTCCTCATTAAACGGGGGGGTATCCCGCTTGCCATGCCCCGCTCTAGCTCCTCCGGTTCTCGGAGGGCTACTTCGGTTCATGGTCAGGGAGACCTGAGGATCACGGTGAGAGCTTCCCACGTCTCCGCGGGCCTCTCATTCCTCTAGCATGTCGCACCACCTGGTGTCCCGGACGAGTGTGCTGGATCCTCGGACAGGGCGGGGTCCAGCATCTTGTGTCCTGAGACCCCGGCCTGGATATGTGCCCAGAGTTCCCACCACGCCTTTTAGGGATTAGGTGGTGAACTTGCAAGTGCTGCCCCGGGAGGACGCAGACCCAGCCATCGCTCTGCTCTGTCCCGTTCGCGCTCTGCGCATTCCCTCCTTCAGGGAACGAGGGTTACACAAGTCATCGAGACGTTCTGTGTGAACCATCATTTGCATATGATTCATGCAGGGATAATTCCTTACCTCTGGAGGGAGACAATTGCTGCCTGCTCATTCTCACTCTCTGCTTGCGTGGTTCCCAGCACCAGCCAAGCCTGAAAAGAAAATAGGTATTGAACAATGAGCATTGGGGTTATCACCTTGACTCTGGCAAGTGCAGGAGCTACAGTGCTAACCTGGGGGAAATTATTCATTTTCAAAGGCCTGTGGCTCAGACATAGAACACAATGTTAGTGAGGAACTGAATGGATTTGTGTTGCCATTTCTTGAAGATGATGAAACATTGGATGTACTAATATCGCCAGACAAATATTTGAAGTTTGGGATATTGGTTTAAGTATAATTTATTATGTGACTGAATATTTGTGCCACGATTCCTCAAGGAATCATTTGTGGGGTTATGAACACTGAGTAAGACGAAGATAAGCTTATTAGAAGATAAGCTTGTTAACTTTGTATAGGAGGAAACTGCATTTCAAAACTCCTGTGACAAGACCACAGCTTGTGAATACAACGGAAAATGTATTAATGAGCCTTATTAATAGAACATCTTAACATGGTTGGCTGAGTCTGTGCTCTTAATTTATAATGTACAATGAGCATAGCATACTTACTGTATGATATTTAAGAAGCAAAATCTCCCCGAAATGCCATTTGCTTTGTAATATTATCTGTTAACATTGAGCTTTTATGGAGACACAATCATTTAGAGGTGGGGTAATTCCAGGAGAAGAGGGATAATCCTCTCTGGGATGTAACTGAACTGTTACATCATTAAATCGTCTGAAAAAAAAAGGGAACCCTACTCAGTTACAGGAGTGTTAATGGTTTGCCATCAGTCACTGTCAAGTACAATGTCTAATACAGAACTCTCACTGAAAATTTGTGAGAACATGGAAACCCCTTCCTTGGCTAATCATGCTATGATCTGTAAAATGTTCAGTGTGGGCAAGAACGTACCTACTGCTTATCACTGTATAGGAAAGGTGTGATTGTAGTTTGATTGGCAGAACATGTAGCTTTCTGTTTTCAAGCTGTGCAGACGTTGATTTGATGAAAGTACCTGGCTTACTGTCGTTTTATAAGCCCACTCACTCACCTCTGAATCCTGAGGGTCCTGCAGCACAGCTGCTTCCAGAAGAAGCACGGCGTTAGGCAGCTCTCCCTCTCTGGACTTGCGTAATCCCTCCTCAAATGCATTTGGCCAGTCTTTGAAAGGGTTATCTGTGTGGAAGTAGTATCCCTGAGGAAGAAATAATGGACATAACAAAGTAGTGGAAAATTCATGAAGATTTTGTACACTGTAAAATGTAAATAACTAACTAAATAAATAAATACATAAAAATAAGTCAAGGGTTTACATATTGAATAATAATAATAATAATAAATTAGTAATGATAAAAAATGAATAATAATATTTATGAATAATAATAATGCATTAGTAATTATAAAAATTATAATTAATAATAATATTTAAATAATAATTAATAATTATTATTATTATCAATATTATTATAATTCTAAATATTTTTTTAAATAATTAGTTAGAATTTTTTTCCTTTACCTTTTCATAAGGAGACACATTAGAGGGAATCTGTGGTCTGTCATTATCTGTTAGCCAGTTCCTGCGAGCGAGCTCTTCCCACTCTGCCTGCATCTTATCCCAAAACTCTGTGTCTGACTGAAAGGGATTTGATAAATGAGACAGGAAAAATAGCTATGCTGTAAAATAAATTTCATTCACTTTCACACTGTTACAGTTTTAGTTTGCTAGTTTCAGTTTGGCTGTTTTTGTTCTTTTTTTCCACAGTGTCCAGAAGAGCACTTCATGGCAGAAAATGTGTTTTCTGCCTCCGCAACATCAAGTTCTGGGTAAATCTTAGTCTTTAGTCGAGTCTCTGCAGGTGCACCACTCTTATGAATGCCTCAAATCTGTATCAACATGCCTCTGAACTCTGTGTGCTCTGCAATCTGAATAATGAATCACTGTGCTTGAATATTGATGGCAAGAGGAGACTTACACAGCCACGCAAGCAATCATTCAGCTCTCAGTCATCTAGGACATATTGGAAATCTCATTTAACGGTTTGATTAATCAAAGAAATTACTTGCATAGCATTAGTCAGCGAACTGAGTGCACTGAAACACTTTGATTTGATGCAGAAGGACAAAATGGTTGAAAATTATTTTGAAATGTTAATAATGCTATAATGTACACTCTTAAAAATAAAGGTGCTTCACGATGCCATAGAAGAACCTTTTTGTCTAAATGGTTCCATAAAGAACCTTTAACATCTGAAGAACCTTTCTGTTTCACAAAAGGTTCTTTGGGGTCAAAGAAGGTTCTTCAGATTATAAAAAGGTAAGAAAGAGATGGTTCTTTAAAGAACCTTTGACTGAATGGTTCTTTGTGGAACCAAAAATGGTTCTTCTATGGCATCGCTTGAAGAACCTTTTGAAGCACCTTTATATTTAAGAGTGTATGTGTCTTTACTCAAAAACCTGTTACTCAAATCCTCACACATCACTGTCATGTGTTGTAAAATCAGAACTGGCAGGAGCATTTGTTGAAGTCACCTACCAATCGATACAGGTCACGAGTCCCAGTATCTTCATTATGGCTCATATTTACTTGAAAAGCACTGTTGTAAGAAACAACAGCTGCTTTTCAAAAGCCTTTATGGCATGATTCCCTCAGAGATTGTATTTACGATGAGGGTTTTCAAAGAATGTTGTGTGACTGGAAGTTGATGAGATGTTATTTTGTTCAATGACACAGCTTTTGTTGAGGAGATAAATGGCCCTCCGTGTTTTATGATGGGCAACAGCTTCACTAATGGTGCTTTTCCACTGCATGGTATGGCACGGTAAGGCTCACTTTTGGGGGGTTTTCCACTGGGTACAGTACCTGGTACTTTTTTTAGTACCACCTCGGTTGAGGTTCCAGGTTTTTAATTTTTAATTTATTTTTTTTTTTATTAGGATTAGCAACAAGTATACAAAAATATACAAAATCACAAAACAAAAAAAACAAAACAACAAACATATGGGGCCAGGGGTAATATAAATTACATTATATAAAGTAAAGGTGCCTTGGTGGGGACTGAAGTTGTTTTTACATATTAATTGCCAGGCCAATAGCATCTGCTTGTGGAAGTTTGATAATTTAATAGGTAGTTTAGAGATATTATAATTACATACCAACAAAAAGGGGAGACCACCAACTTTGGAGAAAACATAATTGGGAATAGCATTCCAAAAGGAATCGGGACCATTCAAAAACTGCCTCAACCAATTTATCTTAAAATAGCTCAGCTTCTGACAAACCATACTGAACTTTGTTATGAAGGGATATTATTTTAGAAACGATAATCTCCTCTTCCCGTTTTTTAAGTTTAGTTAATGACTGTCAAAATTTCTAGCACATTTGCCAACTTCGTGTTTAAGAAGCTCCCAGTTCAGACCATATTTATTTTCTTTTTTTGCTTTGAGCCAGTAGTATTTAATCAAAAATGAAATTTTATTCTTTAATTGGTCATATGTAAGCAAAGAGGAGTTAAGCTTCCAATAAGATGCTCTAGAACCTGAGGAAATATTGACTGAGGAAAGAGGGGATTGAAGAAGAATGGCCCTATGATCAGTTAGAGGGGAGGGAAGAATGCTAATAGCAGCATTAAAGTTCTTGACACACTGAGATACAAGCCAGTAGTCAATACTAGACTGTCTTGAACAACTTTTGTTACTCCAAGTATAAGACTTAATATTTGGAAAAGTTTCCCTCCAAATATCGATGACATTAAATTTGTCCATGAATAATTTCAGTTTAGAGTTAACAGAAGTGGCCTGTCTGGTAGTCTATCCATCTGGTTATCGGGCACAATATTAAAGTCTCCCCCAATAAAAACTAGGGCATCTGGGTATGTGTTAAGCCACAACAGAGTTTTCTCTTCTATCACTTCAAACAGCAAGTCATTCTCATGGGTGACATTATAACCATATATATTAATCAGTATTACTACAATATTATTTAAACAGATTACCAACAGCAGAAAATGTCCCTTCTGGTCGCAAAAGTGGTGTAAAACGTCTCCAACAAAGCAGTTTTTCAAAATCATAACTCCAGCTGAATGTTGTGAGCCGTGAGCCAACCAAATGTCATTGTTCCACTGATTTTTCCAAAAAGCAAAATCACTAGGAATGGAGTGGGACTCCTGAAAAAAACAAAAATCAGTCTTGAACGATTTTGCATACAAGAACATGTCTCTTAATGTCTCTAAGACCCCTGGCATTGAGTGAAATAACAGAAATAGACATAGAATAAGAACCCTTAACTATGAACAGAAAATAATAAAGCTTACCGAAGCTTACTGGTTGAAAACGCAAAGGTAGCTGACAAAAAGGCCATGTCAAAAAAATTTACAGCCAACCACAGTGTTCTTCACAAAATAAAATAGCTCATTGAACCTCACTTGAAAGTATGAACAGTTCATGGAGGGTTAATTTCAGAACCTTCAATGAAAGCAAGGTAACCAACAAAGTAAGCTCTTTTCCCCTCCTTACGTGCCTTTTCCACAGCCGGCCATAGTAAAAGCCTCCTTTCTCGGTCGAAAGCAGTAAGGTCCTCAGTAAACTGAAGATCGTTCGCACGCAGAAACTCGGATGATTTCGCCGCTCTCCACACCCCATCTCTCGCCACCCGGGAGGAAAACTGAATAATGACGGCTCGCGGCCTTGAGGTATTCAAAGGCCTCTTCCCAATGCGATGAACAGTGTCAATCTTATCCGGTAGAATTTTGCTTCCCTCTGGAAAAGTGGCAACACAAATACGAATGGATTCAGCTCTGATATCTTCACCTTCTTTTTCCGGCACTCCTTGCAGGCATAAATTCCAGCGACGTGAGTAACGCTCTAAGTCTGCAATCCTTGTCTCACAGAACTCCATCTTCTTTTACCTTCCCCTTAACGTCATTAAGATCGGCACAGATATAGTCAACAGTTTTCTTTAGTCCTTCAATTTTCAGAGCATTATCACCCACCATTTTCTCCAGGGCATCCGATCAGTTATTTATTAGCTGAGAGAGTGGAAATCACGGAATCATCCTCTGCTCTGCCTTTCTTTGAAGACGGCTTACCCGGGCTCTCAGGAAACGGCGTAGATAAAAGTTTATCCCCGGGAGAAGCATAGCTGTGGACATCCACAATACTAGATACACGAGAAGCACGCGGTGTCTCTCCTCCTTTCCTTTTATCTGCTGCTGATTTCATTTTCAAAGTTTTGAGAGGTAACTTCACAGTAAAATAAATGTAGATTCTAATACGTGTAGCACGATTATATATAGCGTAGTTTAGCTGTTAAAAGCAGATTTGTCAGCGGAGCACTATATAAGTAGACTTAGCAGGACGCCATCTTGGATCCCCCCTCGGTTGAGGTTCCAGGTGAACCGTACCGTTACCAAAACGTGACGTGTAAACTCTGCTGATCACGGATTGGCTGGAGAGAATCGTCACTACATGCGTCACTGAACTTGCGACACAAACACAACAGAACCGCTAGATTTAAATCAGCACAGCCAGCGAAGGATCGAATGCAACTGTTTTGAACAAGCGCACCTTTTTTAACAACCAAAAAGTGGCTGTTTCGTTGTCTGTTGAGGAAGTACAGACGTTCCTCTCGTTGATAGCAGAGGAGCGGATCCAGCGAGAGCTTGATGGGGCGACGCGGAATGAAAAAGTTTTTCAGGAGTCGCGGCGCAACTATAACGACATGTGAATAATCCCGCGCACTCTAAAGTGGTACTAAACTGCAGTGGAAACGCGAGCTGAGTCGTACCACGCAGTGGAAAAGTGCCATAAGTGGCCAATTACAGTCATTGGATGACCCACCCCCTCTTTCCCCCCAACAGCTCAGCACAGAGAGAGTCCAACTAGTCAAAGGTCAAAGTTGAAGACTCATTATCTCTCATCCAGAGAAAGACTGCTTGACTGAACTTTTTAATAGCCAGAACATTTGCGTTAAGGACATCCTTCACAGCGCACATCTTCACTGAACACATCAAAGGCATTTTCCTGAATCCAGCTTGTTTTTTCTTTTTCTAAATCACAGAGTCATCTTTTCCTTAACTTTAGCAACATTACGTTTGTTAAAAAAGATTTTCGCTCACTCTCAAGTTGTTTCAACTTACTTTTCTCTGTAGAACAGGAAAAGGTGAATTTTTGAAGATTATCCCGGACACTTTTTTTCAATATAAAGAATGTAAATGAGGACTGGGGCTGTCAAACTCCAAAAATGACAACAAAGCACCAAAAAAGCAAAAAGCTGTTGTTATTGAAAACTAAAACTATTCAAATAATTTTTGTTAATTGAAACAAAATAAAATATAAATATTACATGAAGAATTTAGAAACATTAAAAGTGAAAACTGAAACTAAAATAAATACATTTAAGTACTAAAATGACTAAAACTGAACTGAAATGAATTGAAGCTATATAGAAATGTAAAAACAAAAACATGACAAGTGTATAACAAAATGACAATATAAAAAATTTTTATTCAAATGAAAACCAAAAATAAAAGCTCATATAAAAAATATTAATAAAAACGTCAATAGTATATAATAATAATAATGATACTAAAATAACACTGCACAAAAGAAGCCCATACAATTTTCACAATATTTTCCAAGACTTCTAAGCTTGATAGATTTGTTTAAGGAACATTAAGTCTCAACATTTAAGTTGTTCTTCACTGAAAATCATGAATAGTTATTCATAAAAGTAATAGTGAGGTCTGATTCACGAACTGTTCTTTTGAATCAGATTTTTTCAAATAATTGGTTTTTATCTGGTTCAAAGCCAGTCCCTCACCAATCTTAAAAACATTTTGAAAGCTCCAGTCACAATTCAATGTAACTGCATGAAAAAGAGCGAACAAGTTAAAAATTCTCCTTTGTGTTCCACAGAGAAAATACAATTTGAATTTTTGAACGAACGATTTCTTTAGCAACTTTGGTCACCTATTTTGTGCAAAGCACCTGGAGTCCTATTTCTAAAAAATACCTGCTTCGTTGAAATATATGTCAGAAACGCTGAAAAATATCTATGACGAAAAACAACTGTCTAAGGGGCTCAGAAAAAGCATTCCTGAGCACCCCTGACATTTTCTGTCATTCAAGAATGGCATCTTTCCTTTAGAGTTCTTTTACCTCAACTGCATTGTTCGTCCCTTGAGAGATTGTGAGATACAGCTCTATAAGCGCAATACAGGCTGAATGTTGTCAGGAGCTCAGCAGGCCGTGGCAGAGTCCTTAACAGGTACACTGAGGGCTCCAAAGGGGGTCAGTGCTCAGTCTTCCTCATTTTCAAACAAGAGACACATGATCAAGGCCATGCTGTTCCACTGGGGTGAGAAAGTCTTCTAATTGGTCTTTGTTTCTAAAATAGAATGCCCTTTGGTTCACAAGTCTCAGACCTCTATTTCTATTTGGACGGTGCACAAAAGCCTAGCAGCTAAACAGTATTGGGACATGCTTTACACTGGAAAAAAATTACTTAATTAGTATTTTTGTGTTATTTTTTACTAAAAATATTTAAACATTTAAAACAAGATACATTTACATTAGAAGCAAAACTGCATAATATATATATATATATATATATATATATATAGAGAAAATAATATATCTTGAATTAAGTTTATTCTTTAAAAAATATTGGCACAGTTTTTTTTCTTGTTTTAGCCATACATCTAACAGGTAAAGTGTGAATGCTCATCAAATACAATTGTTAGATGATAAAATAATAACTTTACACATTCATACAGTACATAAGAGATGAGAGACTGCTGTCTGAAAAAAAGAAGAAGGTGATGGAGGCAAATAATTATTTGAACTCAAAGACTAACTCTTTAATAAAGGAGCAAGTGAATATATTTAATCTCATAATTACCAACTAAAAGAGACCAAGGTTCAGCTCATAATTAGAATGATAAAGACCCCTAAGACATACGTGACAAACAATTAATAAGCTAGAGCATGACAGTCATACATACAAGTCTACAAATTCCAGTGAGGCTTCTACCTTTCGAACAAAAACTTCTGACAGTTTATAATTTATAAGTCAATAAATCACATGTACATATTAATATTATTAATTATATGAATGTAATTCATATTTACAAATGAATACTCATCATATTTACTTAACTAAATACTGTTTACAAGACAAGAAAGATCACATAATCATGACAGAAAGATCACGTAACTGTATTACTGTACTTCTCCTTCAGTAGCTGTAACATTTTTCTCCCAAAAGCAGGAACTTTATGTCCGGGAGTTTGGTTTGTTGAGCATATAAAAAAAAAAGAATTGACAAGCTGTCAAGTCCTGCTGTTAAAACCGATCCCTGTAATTTTGCATCATCTGAAACATCTCCTACATGGAAAGGATCAGAAGATGGCTTTTGAGTAGCCAGACATGGGCTATTGTAAATCTAAAGCCCATATGGTTAATCATTTTGTTTGTGTGCTATAAAATAAATGCTATTATTGTTTTGAAGTGAGAAGTCTCAATTGCCCAAGGTTTCTTGTAGGCACATGGTGTTTATACATCATTACATTTGCAATTTATGAAATATGCAGTTATTTACAGCATAAATCCTTACATTTAACACAACTTTCTGTTATATTTGGCCCTGACCAGCACAGAGACAGCCAAAAGCCTGCGTTCACCTCTCGCTGTCTGCATGTTTCTAAATAGAGCAGCATAATTTCAGTTGTATTCTGTTTCCTGCATCCCAACATCCTCCCCTAAGACTGCAGGGCGGAAAATGTATTCCATCTATCTTGCATCTTTATTCACTGCTCAGTAAGCAGCCCAACCCATTCCCCATTTCAATTCATTTTAGACTCCAAGGCATTTCTTCATTCAGGACATCAGCAAATGAAAATGATTGGAAACTGGCCTCACTGTCCCAGAAAGTAGCTTTCTGGATAATTTAGGACTCTGTTCAGCTTATAATCATATTAAATATATGCAGTTACTTATAGGGGGCTGGAGGCAGAAGGGCAGCTCTCAGCGTGCAGGCCAATGTTCCTGTAATGATCGAAACTCAAGGATGGTGCTATCGATCAACCCTCCATTTGTTCCAATTGCAGCCTTGAGAATCACTACTTAATGCACACTAAGTCCCGCCCCTCTCAACCCCCTTTCAAACTGAATACTGTCTCAGTCCTACAGCTGTAATGGGCGCTGTCTTGAGGGCTACAAATAGGCAGCATAACCAGTGATCCTGTGCACAGCACAAATTCTGCATTGAGTGGTTCTTCGTACTGTAAATACTGCTCTCACTTTTAGATATGCCCTTCCTCTTTCTCCTCCATTATTCATCTGTTCTTACAGATCCCCCATGCTTTTGCCCTTAGCACTCTACCTCTGTAACACATGTAATACAATAGCTGGCTTCTTACAAGTGCAACAGCAGACACTCATCAGAACAACATAAACTATTAAGCAGTGAGAACTCTTAACACAATACTAAGTAGACTTATCACATTGTGATGAAACGCGTCATTTTTATTTGTAGGTTTTGGTTACTATTTTGTGCATTTAAGACTGAAAAAAAAATATATATAATAATAATAAAAAATAGAAAATTTTTTAAAGACTCAAAAAGTCTAAAAGGCTAAAAAAAGACTCAAAAAGATGTTCAAAAAGGCAAAACATTTATTTAGGCGTTATATCAAAAAATTGCTTTTTGCTTGAATGAGAGATATTGTGTCTAGATGCTTTTTTCCCCCTGAGTGACAGGCCTTAGAGTAATTTCTTCCAATGCATCAGCGGTTGTGATCACTGAAGCAGAGGAACTGATGTTGGATAGCAGGGTCTCCAGCTGAATTAGCCTATATCTAGTTTCTGTAAGCACAATACCTTCTCCTCTGCCACCTGATGCTGCACGACTGGCCTATTTTCTTCTCTCATTGAGAAATGGAAAGTTATAATATGGTTCAACTTATTCCGTGAGCAACGGTGATGACATTATAATCAATCAATTATTGAGGGAGGCTAATTAGCATCACACTGTACTCGTGACAGCAGGCAGTTTCCAACTTGTCCAATGCCACAAAGGTGAGGCCTTATTAAAATATGAACTTTAACAGAGGACACACCTAGTTAGTTTCTTCAAGTTGATTTTTGAAAATTATTAACTATTTTTTTGTCCATCTCAGTTTATGGGGATAGTTCACCCAAACTGAAAATTCTGTCATCATTTACCATTTACTCACCCTCATGTTGTTGCAAAAAACTATAGTTTCTTTCTTCTGTGGAATGTAAAAGAAGATATTTTGAAATATGTTGGTAATCAAACCATTTTGATAACCTATGACTTCCATTTTAAAGACCAAACAAATAAAAACAAAAACAAAGTTTTATGTTCCAAAGAAAAAAAGAAAGTCATGCAGGGTTGGAAAGACATGAAGGTGAGTATATGATTACAAAATTTTGATTGTTGTTCAGAAACATATACAAGTAAGCCATTTTAATTAACTGGATAATGCATCTGGCTAATATTAGTATAGTGCCATATCAGCTCCAGTTCACACAGTTTTAGCATATTTAAATTTATTTCTTATAATTCTGCAACTTTTCCCAAAATGAAACAGAAAAAGTGGAAAATGTCTGTAGATTTCATTTGGGTCTGTTAAGTTGAAAAGAAAAGGCAAATGTTATTTGCATCAAATGAAAATAGTGGTAGATACTGTTTACACAAGTATAAATATCAACAAATAGTGGCAGCTGCTATTTAAGTGTAAATTAAACTAATATGCTATTTATACTAAAGAAATGTCTGAGTAACGCTGGGTGGAGTTAATCAGAAAAAAAAAGCCTGTCAATGAAGTTGGCTTTTTGCACTCTGTGTAAATACACTGCCCATTAATACCCATTAACTACGAGACAGTGTTTTTGATGCTCACAGATATTTTAAAGGAGACTTTTGGCTTACCTCCACTGCTGCCTTAGCTCTCTCAAACTCTTCCTCCAGAGACTGGTTTCTGGACAGTAGTGTGCTGCCCCACCTTTGGTCCTTGCTCAAACGGCCCTATCAGACACATGCACACAGAGCAGGAGTCAGAGAGAATGTGGTCAGCCATCTCTCCGTCACTCTGACAGGAGAAAAGGCCCTGCCCTTGCCAACCCCTGATGCCAGAGGCAAGAAGAAATGCCAGCATTAGCAGCACAGTGTCTTCTTGTTTTCTTTCCTTCCCTCTCTTTCTTTCTCACTTTCACTCTCTTTCGAGGTTCTGCCATCCACACCTAATGTTCTTACATTCAAAATGGCTCAGGACTGGCTTGTCATGCACAGCGCGCTACCCTCACACATTTTTCTCAGTATGCAAAATCTGAAAATAGCATGGCAGGAGACCTTTGCGCAGCATGAATCGTCAAATATGCACCATTTTTTAACACTGTACACCTGAAGACATGCTTCACATGCGGCAAAGCCATTCATTTTGACTACACTGCTGTGTGTGTAAACCACACAGCAACAGAAAACAAGCTTACTGCAAAATAAAACAGTAAGATCTCAAGGGTTTTATTTTCTCAGAGTCAGAGGCTTCGTCTGGATAGGTTTCAAATTTAGAGGGTGACATATGGCCATAACAAACAATAGGAGCCTTTTGTTTACATTTGCTGATGGCCAAGGACGCTATAAACTACCATACTATTTTTGTTAAAGGAATAGTTCATCCAAAAATTTTAATTTGCTGAAAATGTACTCACCATCAAGCCATCCAAGATGTAGAGGAGTTTGTTTCCTGATAGGAATAGATTTGGAGAAATTTAGCATTACATCTCTTGCTCACCAATGGGTCCTCTGCAGTGAATGGGTGCCGTCAGAATAAGAGTTTAAACTGCTAATCACAATAATCCACAAGTAATCCACACAACTCTAGTTCATCAATTAATGTCTTTTAAAGTGAAAAGCTGTGTGTTTGTGATAAACAAGTTTATCAAGACGTTTTTAGCTTCAAACTGCTGCGCCCAGCTAAAATACCTCTATAATGATCTTGCTTTATTCAGTGAAAAAGTTGTCTTATCCGAATTAGGAGAGAAATAAATACACAAGCAAAATCAGTCCAAAATAGTAAACAAATAGGTAGGTGGTTTTTGATGTGAGTGGACAACAGGGGATGGACTTTTTCATTGGAGGAAGCATTAATATAGATTATGGACTGTTATTTTGCCAGAAGCGAAGGTTTAAAGTTAAAATGCCTTAATGATGCATATGTTTATTACAAACATGCAGCTTTTCACTTCACAAGATGCTAATTGATATGGGGTCCTGCTGATTACTTGTGGATTATTGTGACGCTTTTATCAGCAGTCTGAACTCTCATTCTAATGGCATCTATTCACTGCAGAGGATCCATTGGTGAGCAAGTGACGTAGTGCTAAATTTCACCAAATCTGTTTTGGTGAGGAAACAAACATCTATATCCTGGATAGCTAAATTGGTTCAATGGTAGGGAAATTCCTTGTTACAAAAGTAATGTACTGGCCAGGGGGCATAATTAATTGTGCTATACTTTTTAATTGTGTTTTTAAAAAAATGTATCACACTAAATTAACATGTAAAACGGACGGCCATAGTTGCATTTTCACTGATAATAATGTCATGTTTTTGGTGCTCCTTAAATTTTAAAGTTGCTTGTCATTTTAATGAATAATGTAATCATAGAGTTACCCTTTATAATTCACCCTCTGTATGTAGCTTTGTATCTTGTTCTTAGGCCATTCTAAATGTTAAGTGCTGAGCTATCAAAGGAAAACTTCCATTTTCCCAATTCAATTCTTAGCATAACAAAGCCTTCAAGGCAGACTGAATCAAAGCAATAGGATGAAGTATTTGCCACCTGCCTCATTGGATATTAATCAATTACCAAGGTTACCAAATTAAACAGATTTCATACAGGAGGCTATAATGGAAGCCTCAAAAAGGACAATTGGTCTTGCTTCATTGTGCTGGCGCAGCTCTGTATAATTACATTTAATGTGCCCTGTCAGACCCTGTGTCAGTGCAACAATTACCTTTAACATTACACATTTAATTTCCACCACCACTCATGGCCGAAAGACAATTTGAGCTCAATGTTTTTAGAACCATGCAGCTCACATATGTGCTGATTGCTCCATCATGACTAGTCTTAGCACATGTAAGACAAATGTATCTGTACCCCATATGTAAGGTTTAGGTGTGTAAGGGTCAATGATATATAAGAGTGTCTACGATAAAGAAACATTAATCATTATTTTTTAATTAAATTTCAATGGGAAAAGTATTTTTGAACAAACATTATGAATTCTTAATGAATAAATACTCTACCATTCAAAAAGTTGGGATCAGTAAGATTTTTTTTTAATTAATACTTTTATTCAGCAAGGATGCATTAACTAGATCAAAACTGACAGAAAAGACTTCGACATTTTTACAAAAAAGTCTTTGATACATTCATAAAAACATTGATAATAACAAGAAATGTTTCTTGAGCAGCAAGTTAGCATATTAGAATGAGGGATCATGTGATACTGAAGACTGAAATAATGGCTGCTGAAAATGTTGCTTTGCCATCACAGAAATAAATTACATTTTATAATCAGAAATCAGTTATTTTAATTGCAATAATATTTCAAAATATTACTGTTTTTATTGTATTTTTGATCAAATAAATGTAGCCTTGGTGAGCATATGAGACAAAAAATTTAAATCATATCGCCACTAAACTTTTGAACGGTAGTGTTTTGATACATTTTTGGGGAGTCACAAGCTGACTATAAACCTGATGAGCAAATCAAAGATGTTAGAGGCACCCACTGTTGGACAATCTATCTGGGGTAATTTAATTTATGCTTTTCCAATAGCAACCTTGGGTTTACATTGGGTTTACATTGACCAGTGGCTGGTCAATAATTAATTTGATAACTATCTAATCATGATAGACAGCAATACAACAGACCTGCATGCTTCACTGAGGGTAGAAGCGTGTAACATTTGTACCCTGTAGCACCACAATAAATGTGAAAATCCTTGCAAACTGTGACCTGCCGTGAGGACGTCACTTCAGTTCATTAGCTGCCACGAAGTATCGCCAAAATGCTTGGTCTTTTTTGTATTGAATTTGGTGGTGATGCTGTTGCCATGGTGCAAATGCATAGACCATTCTGCAATTCATACAAAGAGTGCACAGAGTGGCTTACATGTCTTCCACTAACATATTGCCTGTTGAGCTGAAAATAAAGAATTCTAGACGTTAGCACAGAATGTTATGTATTGAGTGGCTAAAAAAAACATTCACAGTTCAAGTGGATGGATTTATAGTAATACGATAAAACTACAATGAGTGGGACAAGTGGGAAATAAGATGTGAAAGTCACTGACACATGTGCACAGATGATCATGATTCATAGAAAGAGTGATAAGTGTTGCTCGGTGTTGCACTTACTTGAGTTGCTGGCACGGCTTCCACCTCTACTTTATTATTGACCTCCAGGGAGTTCCTGGGGGTAGTGTCTAGCTGAGTCTTGCAATCCATAGACCTGGGGTTATATCATAAGAAATTGATGTGAAAAAAAAGGTATTCATATCTTTTGGATATCCAGAAAGTGTGTGTTTTCATACAATTTTTTTTTTTTAGAGCAGCGACTTACCACACAAATTCACCAGAATTTTTTGATGAACATCTTCTCTCAAATTTCCACTTTCTGCTACCATTTCGCTCTGGGTGTGGGTTGAGTTCTTCCCATTTGTCCAAAGAAGATGGAACTGCTACTGTAAACAAAATGAGGCCATGTTGTTTGACAGAGATATATTATCATACTGCATCCCAAGTAAATCACAAGCAACACCACAGTTTTAGGAATTTGCAGTATGCACATATTAAAGAGGGCAACTACATAACGTTATGTAAGTCTGTAATATTATTTTCATTGAAAAAGTACTATCCGTAATAGAACCTGTTCAGTTAATAACGTGAAAAATTCATTTTAATTTGTGTAATCGACTGATTTCCCTTTACTGATTTGCAAGATTGCTTCTCAGCATAACAGCCCTTCACTTTGTCTGTCTGACACTTAATACCTGAGTCCAATGAAATCTTTTCAGGTGTGCGGGAACAGGGTATACTCTGATCAACATCCACTTGGATCAGCTCTGTTTCATCGGCCTTCTTCCTGTACGGTGTGCCCTTAGAAGAAAGAGGGCTCTTCCTGTCTTTGCTGTGTCTTCTCTCACCAGGCTCACTCAGATCTAGCAGGTCCAGAGAGGAGGACAGTACTGGACAAAGGAAGCAAACAGAAAATAAATATCATCCACTTTTATTTGTCTTCTTGCTCCAGAAAGTTCAGTGGTTCTGAAAGTGTGGGATGCATCCTACTATCCTTACTAGCTAGACTTGGGGGGAAGTCGTGGCCTAATGGTTAGAGAGTCGGACTCGTAACCCAAAGGTTGTGGGGTCGAGTCTCGTACCAGCGTTCTCTCCCACCTTCAATACCACGACTGAGGTGCCCTTGAGCAAGGCACCGAACCCCCAACTGCTCCCCGGGCGCCGCAGCATAAATGGCTGCCCACTGCTCCGGGTGTGTGTTCACGGTGTGTGTGTGTGTTCACTGCTGTGTGTGTGCACTTTGGATGGGTTAAATGCAGAGCACAAATTCCGAGTATGGGTCACCATACTTGGCCACATGTCACGTCACTTTCTTTTTCACTTTCTAAACAAGCTAGAGCAAAAATGAAATATAAAAATTTTGGTTTCAGCAAATTGAGTGAAGGTAGGCAGCTCGTTTCACCACAGAGGAACTGAGAGGGTGAAGGTTCTGGAAATCAACATTGTGCCTCATTGTCAAGAAACACTCCCAGGTGCCATTTGCTCAATGACTGTAAATAGCGGGATAGAATATACACTTAAGGGTGCTTTCACACCTTGTTTGATTGTCTGTTCTAAAAACGAGTTTGATTGATCCCTCCTTCCCCTGTCCCAACTGGATTGTGGTCACTGTGTTTTTTGGTTTCAAACCATGGTTCGTTTATGTCAGAGTGGAGTCAATTTCTTCTGAAGGCGAACGGAAATTAGATATAAATTCTTTCTGCTTTTAACACATCAGACATGCTTGTCAGGAAAGTGAGTGAGAAAACAGAAATACACAGTTTGACAAAATTGATAAGTCATCAACAGCAGTTCACTTTGGTCATTTAGTATGACTGCATTCACTGCAGAAAAGAACTGTACCAGAGTTCGCATGAACCATAACCCAGACCACCCTTTTTAGACTTGGGTACAGTTCAAAGGTGTGCACCCGAGTTCAGAAAACAACTTGCACATTATCCAAACGAACTGAACTCTGACATCAAACAAACACAGGTGTGCACCAAAAGTGCAAGTGCAGGGGTGACCAATCCTGCTCCTGGAGGGCCGCTGTCCTGCAGAGTTCAGCTCCAACCCCAATTAAACACACCTGAACCAGTTAATCAAGGTCTTACTAGGCATACTAGAAACTTCCAGGCAGGTGTGTTGAGGCCAGTTGCAGCTAAATTCTGCAGGACACCAGCCCTCCATGACCGAGTTTGGAGACCCCTGTGCTAGTGTGAAAGCCTCCTAAGAGTACATCAACATCCTCTCATCCCTTATCCATCCCATTGTGCGTTCAACAGAATAAAACATTAACATATGTGAGATACTGTGCATAAATTGATATTAGAAATTGATTTATCGAATTAGCACATCAACCAAAAGTCCAGAGTTTAAAGAAAAAGAAAAAACATAACACATCCTGGCTTAGTTATTGCTCTAAGCACTTACCTGCGTGGTCACAGCAATAAAAGACAGCAGGCAGTTCCGACAGCTCAGGGGCCGGTGTCAAATAATCTTTGATGTTGCATGTTCCTCTCCAAGAGAACAAAGAGCGTTTGAGATAATGTATATATATATACACACACACACTTCATCAAGAACACTCTCTACAGAACACTGTGTTCTGCTGCAGAGGATGAAGTTCTGAGAAGAATGTATTCATTCAATATTCAGAGAGAATGTAGTCAGCTTTTCTGATTAGGTGAGATTAAAGCATAAAACTTTTAGATGGTTGAACCCCCCCTTTATGTTAACATTAAGAACAGACACTCCGGACATATTCTACTGCTTCTACCCCCTTCCTGCTACCTTTCTGACTTGCAGAACAGACATCTTCATAACCAGGTGGTAGACACAATGTCCATGCAGGTCAGTACTGCATATAGATGCCAACATTGAGGATGCATGATCCAAGCCTTGAGGGCTTGACAGCACACCTTCTGAAATCTGGCACAAACATCAGAGCTGAAACCAGGTTACCACCACATGCTTTTGTCTCTGCCGACCACACAAAGACCAGCCTGGACACCAAATACCTCTCAAGACTTTGAGATCTTCTAAAGCCCTATACTTTAAACCAAGCTGATAGAGTGCAATAATCTCAGACAGCAATATAATCAAGAAGTTTCACAATGATTGCCTTCACATGTACAATAAAACATTGATAACTGGGTCAGTTACATATAAGAGTGTCTACGATAAAGAAAAGGAGAAAAAAAATGTTTCAAACTCATGTGCCAAGTTCTCAGAAATGCACTCTTTGCATTCATGTTGGTTTCATATGGTTTTGAAAAACTTTTATTTATTTAATAATAAATAATAATATATTTTTTTCTTCCACCTTTACATTTTTGAATAAATTAATAGACAGGACAAAATTGAATGTAATGTTGTTGACTCAACTATCAAAAATCTCATTATAAAAATATAAAAAAAATAATAGAATAAGCTGGTAAATGTGGTACTGAAATTGGTATAATGACTAAAAATATATCTAGATTTAGGTGTTTACATGATCTTACACACTGTCGTCTTCTTCTTCTTATTATTATTATTTAAATCAATGACTTCACAGTTTGTACTCTGTTTGTAGATGCTTAAGATGTAAAAAATAAATGAAATTTTTGTGGTTTAATATACGTCTTGCTTTGAATCTTATAAGCTGTCTTAAAGAAAGAAGTATAGGAGTCCTGACGCCATGATGATTCTGTAACCAAAGCAAGTCATGATTTTTTTACTAAAATGAAAAAATGAATCAAAATCTCACTCAGGAGAATCTACCAGAGAATAATAATTGAATTTAGATGCGTTTCTTCTAAAGATTACAGCAGTTCCCATTAAAGACCTGAATATACATTTTTATAATCAGCTCCATTGCTTTTATAGACAGACACTGTTTAAAAAAAACCTGGTGTTCTTTTAATCATTCAAATTCTTCTTACATTTTAGCTAAAGAAGTTAGTCTAATTATGCATAAAAGTATACAATCATATTAATAAACATGCAAAAAATATTTAGAGTGGTACCAAAAAGAAACTATGACTTCAATGCAGTGTTAACTTGGCAATTGACTCTGGCTTCACATTTCAAGTCAGGCATACTCAACTACACATAGATCAATAACTGACGCTTTTACTATTTGTTTGACAGACTGAAAATCTTTCACACTGTGAAGTAAGTACTTTGTGACATTTTGATTGCAGAAAGTTCTGCCTGGTAATTTCTGAACCTCAATACGCATTACGCTCAAAGGCACAGTAATTAACAGACTGCTGCTTTAAGCAATCCAAAGATCCTCCGTTCATAATCTGTTGGTAAATAGAATATGCTGTTTTCCACAATCAGAAAGTAAACAAGACACTCTATAGGGAGTAGGAGTGGTTGTCTTAATTGCTTTGTGCATGGTGCAGACAAGTGAGGGTGCAAGTCAAATAAATATAGTTTTATTTGCTCAGCTTCTCAGTGTGAATTTCATGTCATTTCATTACAGCTGTCATGCAGTAAGAGGCCACATACTTCCTCATTTAGTAATGTGTCTGTCTGCTCTGCTAACCAGTGGTGAAGACATATATAATGCAGACTACACTATCATTCAAAGGTTTGGGTTGGTAAGATATCCAAAGTGTTTTTGAAAGAAGTCTCTTATGCTCACCCAAATATTTATTTGATCAAAAATACAGTAAAACAGTAATATTGTGAAATATTATTACAAATGAAAACAACTGTTTTCTATTTAAAAACACTTTAAAATCGATTTTATTTGTGTGATGTCAAAGCTGAATTTTCCGCAGCCATTTCTCCAGTCTTCAGAAATCATTCTAACATTCTATTTCAGTGCTCAAGAGAAGCTTCTTATTATTAACACAGTTGAAAATAGTGGTGCTGCTTAATATTTTTTCTGTGGAAACCACATTTATTTCAGGATTCTTTGATGAACAGAAAGAACAGAACAGCACTTATTAAAAAATACAGCATTTACTGTATTACATTTTTTGGTAATGTCAAATTCTTTACTATCACTTTTGATAAATTCAATTCATACTTGCTGAAGTATTAATTTAAAGGGGTGCTATTATGCTTTTTCACTTTTTCAACTTTAGTTAGTCTGTAATGTTGCTGTTTGAGCATAAAAAAGATCTGCAAAGTTACAAAGCTCAAAGTCCACTTCAAAAGGAGATATTTTATTTAACAGAAATCACTTTTCAAAAACTACAACAAACGACTCGTTTGGACTACAACGCATATTTTCCTGGGATTTGTGATATCACAAATATCAACGAATGGGACGAGACCTGGTCGAGCTGCACTAGAGAAGGCAACGAGTGTTATCACTATGTCGGAGACGAGCTTAGAGTGGTTACAATCATCCGGGTTTAAATCGCGCTCAAACTGAAGCTCGCAGGCGGCTATGGTAAGGGGCATGACATTTCCCGACCAGGCGCCGAGTGGAGCCAATCACAACACACACTGGCCCAGCTAACCAATCACAGCACATTTCGTATTTCAGAAGGCGGGCCTTCATTTGATACAGGAACTATTCGAGCCGTTCATGCCAGACTGGGGAGAGGTGTTGTAATAATGTAAAATATGTGAAAAATAATGTTTTTCGAACAACCTAGTATGAGAGCCTGTACAGGCTCTTGAAGATGTTTTAGAAGAACTTCAAGAATGCAACAGTTCACATAATGGTAAGCAGCACAATTTATACGCCAGTTTATTATTAATGTGTATTTTAGGTTAGTTTTTTGTTACCCTAATATATTGTATTGTTATATGTTTTATAGATGATGATGACGAAAGTATTCAGCTGTTCCTTGAGTCCAGTGATTCAGATGAAGAAACCAATACCTTTCTGGTAAGCACCAACAAAAGAATAGTATTAAAAATGCTCCTGGATGAAATTTCTAAAATGTTTATACAGACAAAAGGGATTTTTAAGAGATTTTTTTTGTTTTCTCTCAGTAGAGATTATGGTCTAGTAAATGTGCGTTTTATATTTGCATAGGATGAGTTTGTGGCTGAAGAGGGTGAAGAAGTGGAAATTCTTGCGGAGGAGCAGAGTGAAGCCTATCTAAACATGCAAGATGGAGAGGAGCATGGAAGTGATCAGTCTTCAGAAAAACCAGAAGACTTACTGATGAAACTTTTGGCCATGATGATTTTGTCATGGCAAGCATCTTTCAAGATTTCTGACAATGCCATCACAACACTACTTCTGTGCATGAGGCAGTTCATGTGGACGGTAGGAAATGTTCTGTGTGTTGATTTCCTCACTGCTTTCGCAAGCAATATTCCGAAGACTTTATCCTCTTTGAGGAAATGGACAGGTATTGTTCGTGATAATTTTGCACAATATGTGGTTTGTCCAAAATGTATGGTAATATACACGCTATCTGAAACCTATGAGGTCAAACAGGATGGTACAAAGGTATGTAAGTCTTGTAGTTACATCCCATTCTCCAAACACCCACAGAAAAGATCTGCTCAAAAGAAGAAATGTGGTTCTGCCTTGCTAAGAAAGCTAAAATCTTCCACTGGGAAAGAGTTTGTATATCCAATACGGCCCTACTGTTACAGCAGCGTTAGGCAGTCTTTGGAAGTTCTTGTTAAAAGACCTGGATTTCTGCAAAAGTGTGAAGAATGGCGACTGCGAAAAATGCCAGAGTGTGTGTTCGGAGATGTTTATGATGGACAAGTATGGAAGGATTACCATTATGTGAATGGAGAGCCATTCTTATCAGCCCCAAATAATCTGGCAATGATGCTCAATGTGGACTGGTTCCAACCTTTCAAAAATGCACCTTATTCAGTTGGAGCCATCTACTTGGTCATTTTGAATTTACCTCGTGAAGACTGTTTTAAGGAAGAAAATATGATTCTTGTTGGACTAATACCTGGCCCAAAAGAGCCATCACTAACCATGAATGCATTCTTAGACCCACTGGTTGATGAGCTCGAAGAACTCTGGAGTGGCATAATTTTGGAAGATAGCTCTTTTTTAGGATATCAGGTTTACAGAGCAGCTCTGCTGTGTCTGGCATCTGATATCCCAGCAAGTCGAAAATGTGGAGGCTTTGTGGGCCATGGAGCATACAGAGGTAAATGAAATATGCTTCTCAGTATAAAAACTGTTTAAATTGATGATTGTTTCAAATATTGTAGTTTGTACTTATCTTTGAATGCTCAAGTTTCAATATGTGTGTGACATTTTGCATTTAACTTGCAGGATGTCACAAGTGTTTGAAGACATTCTCCAAAAAAGAGTTTGGTGCAAAAATGGACTACTCTGGATTTGATCGGTCTTCATGGGAATCACGCATATCAAAGGACCACATACACTATGCTGGATTATCGAAGCGGGCAAAAACAAAGGCAGAACAAATAAGAATTGAACATGACTACGGAGCTAGATGGTCAGAACTTTTCCGCTTGAGTTATTATGATCCCATCCAATTTGTTGTCATAGATCCAATGCACAACCTTCTTGGTACAGCAAGACATGTATTCCGACTATGGACAGAATTAGGAATTTTAACAGCAAAAAAGCTTGAAGAACTTCAAACTAGAGTGGAAAACATCAAAGTACCTCATGATGTTGGTAGAATTCCCTTACGAATTTCATCAGGCTTTACAGGATTTACAGCAGATCAGTGGAAAAACTGGACAACCATTTACTCCCTGTTTTGTCTGAAGGGGCTTATTAACAGCAGACACTATGACATGTGGTTTGACTTTGTGCAGGCTTGTATCATTCTCTGCTCCAGAGTCATTTCTTTCAAAAGGCTGGAAGTAGCAGATGGACACCTGCAGGCGTTTCTTTCAAAATTTGTTGAACTTTTTGGCCCATTGCACTGCACCCCCAACATGCATTTACACCTTCATTTGAAAGAGTGCATGTTAGACTACGGACCAGTTTATTCATTTTGGTGCTTTTCATTTGAGCGTTTTAATGGAATACTGGGGAACTTTAATAGCAACAATAGGGCAATTGAAGTTCAGATAATGAGGCAGTTTCAGCAGAGACAGCAGCTTCGTATGCCATGGACGTTTGAATATGGTGCTGAATTTGCCAGTATCTTAGGAGGTCAAATGTTTGGGACTTTGTCATGTGAGGGCACAGCTGATGTGCTTTATTTGAACCACAATGTTTTTGTGTCAGCAGAACGACTTTTGTTAGAAAACTGTACAGTGGTGCCTCTGTCACCATTCCAGCAGACAATCTTGGATGAGACTGACAGAAATGCAATGTTAATCATGTATCACCAGATGTACCCTGAAAATTGCAAAACTGAGATTGACTGTTTTGCCAAGACATGCAAAAGGGTAACATATCTTAATGTAACTTATTCCATAGATGGATCGAGAGCCGAAAGGTCAGCATGTGTATATGCTAAGTGGTGTGGAAACACTAACAGTTTTGAGGAACCCACCCTTGACCCTAGAGCAGAACCACGGCCGGCTATTATCAAGATTTTTTTTGTTGTAAATGTGATGTCAAAAGGTAATGAATTTAAACACATCACTGCACAAGTCTCCTGGCTTCATCCCCATCCTGACAGACATTTTTATTGAAAGACAGTAGAAATTTGGAGTTTGCAGGGAACAGACTGGAACAGACAGGGAACACATGCCCAGCAGCATTTCTCCCTGTTGAGCGCATTGCTGGAAGATGTGTGTTGAACACATCTACTGTACGTTTAAGCAAAACAACGGAGAAAGTTACTATAGTCATGCCACTATGCACAGTGGTTGAGATCTAGGAGGTCTAAGAGGATTTTATTACTATTGTTTTTAGATTATTTTAAGAGTTTACTAATCTTAGTCTATTTATTTTGTTTGTGTTCATCTACTTCATATTTTTGTATGTTAGTTCGCTAAAGTGTAAAGAACTTTGTATTCTGAATGATGCCTTTAAATATGGTAGATAAATAAAGTGAAATGATAAAAGCCTTTGAAAAAGTGAATTTTATTTGTGTTGTGCTTAAAAGTGCTAGCTACACACATACACACTGCAGTTCAATATTTTGGGATCGGTAAGATTTAAAAAAAAATTGTATCTCTTTTTTTTAAGTTTCTTATGCTCATCAAGGCTTCATTTATTTGATTAAAAGTACAGAGAAAAAAACTGTAATGAGAAATATTACAATTTAAAATTTAAATGTATAATTTGAAATATATTTATATATATATTTTTGAATAAATGCTTCTTATATTAAGCCACGTTAAGCGCGGTTTTCTATGGGGAAGAAAACTTTCTAGTACACCACCAAAACAAAATCAAGACTTTGTAAAAGAGCATAATAGGACCCCTTTAAATAAACAAAGTCTTACGGACCCCAAACTTTTGAATGGTGGTATAAAAGCACAAATTCAATTCAAGTACAGCTACTTGCTTTGTTTCTTAAAATCTGACTATATTGTACATGAAAAGATGCTAAAACTTCTGAATTATAGTGTAATAGTACAGTGTAGTGGAGTATAGTACAGTGGAGAAGCAGAATTGTTGAGGAAGTATGGGAAGGTCACTATCTGTGGTACCTGCTGTGTTGGAGGTTACTGGGCGGGCAACTCCATCACACTTGGTCTCGCAGAGGAAATCATCAATGGAAGGGCTCAGCAAGGGACGGCTCTCTTGTTGCTCACTCACCAGCTGAAAAAATCAAGCAGAAGAGTGTGATGAGGTCTACATTAATGCACTTGGCCTTCCTGTTCTCCTCTTGTTTTAGTTGCAGTCAGCCTCCACTGTGCCACGAGCATCTCTGCATGTGATTGGTAACGCTGGTAGTCACCACCTTTTCAGCTGCTGCCTATTTACAGGATTGAGACGACAATTCTCACGTTGCCCCCCTCTTGCAAACGTCCCTAGCCTGAGGATGTTTCTCCCTCCCATTCTCGCTTAAACAGAAGGAAAGCAGACCAGTAATCACAAATAGCATGTGACGTGCTTGTTTTTCCATTTCAGAGAACATAGTAATTGTGTATGAATGTAATTATGACAAGGTGTGAGGCTGTCTTTATAAAGCCCCTCATCGGTATACTATGTGTTCTATGTGACAGAATGTGTGTATGTTCTCTTAAAAGACTGGCATAGAGGTGGCCCTGTGTCTAACAGAATGGGAAAAAACACATCAATCATCATCTGGTTGTTCTCATAGTGTTCATTCAGCCATGCCACAGTCTCATCAGAGGAGAGCACTTTTTTGGGCAGTCAGTGCATGGCTACAGCAAATCTGCATTTTCAGCCATAACTACCTCTCTTTTGAAGACTTAATCCTTTAGTCAGAAGAGAGACATAAATTTGCAACATTAAGTGGATCCCTGATGTTTAATCTGTGTCCTCAGTGTTGTTAAATTAATTAATTTCTTTCTACATATTGCACATACTAAAATAAGGGCAAGCGTATTTGTGTCTATACAGGATTTGCATCAGAATCTTTCGGGATTGATTTCTAGTTAAATGTTTCTGTGCTGTAGTAGAATTTTATTGATAAATTCATGTCTAAAGAGGGAGATTACTATATAGTGACCTGAGAAACAGGCTAGTCAATTAATTGGATTTGATAATCTTCATTGTTCACATCATTTAAGACACAAAGGCTGATCACACCAGTTGAGGCAAACATTTCTTACTGTATCTTCACCCTCTTGGACTCCTTCTCCCTTCTCTCTCTCTCTTTCTCTCTCTCTCTCGCTCTCTCTCTCTCTCTCTCTTAAACCAGATTTGCTTATGCGACTGGAAGGCAGCTAGCTACCAAGCTAACACTTGCTAATGTGTGAATAAGTAGCTACTTGAATTTATATTTAGTAGAACTGATGTATGTGAATATATGTGAATATATTCTTTTGCCCAGTACTAATTTGATAACCTGGGTTTCTGTCTGTAAGGTAACAGTGTTTTTAAAAGTTGTAAGTTCACGGTCATATCCACCAGTAACAACACGCTGGGGGTAAATGTGATGTTTGTATCAAGTGCTTTGAAGGTCAAAAGTCGCTAAACACACTGTGAACGAATGTAGCGGGATAGATATAGCAGAATGTGCTAATGAGCAGAAAATATTAATTTAGTTTCCATCTGTTTGCTAATTAGCATGCAAAAGGACACTACCATTTGAAAGTTTAGGGCCAGTAAAATTGTCAAAGATACAGTAAAAACTGTATTATTTTAAAATATTATTAGAATTTAAAATAACTGTTTCTATTTTAATATATTTTAAAATATAATAGATTTTTTTGTTGTCAAATCTGTATTTTTAGCAGTCATTACTCTAGTTTTCAGTATCACATGATCCTTCAGAAATCAGAAATGCTGATTTGATTTTCTAACTCATTTTTGAAAATAGTTGTGCTGCTTACATTTTTTTGATGAACAGAAAGTTCAAAATAGCATAATTTTTTAACAGAAATCTTTTTTAGCATTATAAATACTGTCACTTTTCATCAAATGCAGCCTTGCTGAATAAAATAATTAATTTTACTGACTTTTGAACGGTATTAGCTTACAGTTAAAAATTAGGTTGTAGATATGAAATTGTTGTATTGTTATGTGAAATTGCCCGTAATTGTATTTATTCTACACAGCTGTACTCAAGAAAACATAAATATGCTGCTCTCAAAGTCACCTGAATTTAATGCTTTGAAGCTGTTTTTACAAATTCCCCTGCATGGGTGAGAAGAGAATCCCCTCTGTGACCCAGTATGGATGAAAGGCTAAACACCCCTGGTTTGCATGTTGCTGACATTTGTTTCATGCAAATAGTGCTAAGATACTTATGTCATCAGAATGTTTCTGGTTGTAAAACAGCACGCATGTAATTTCATGTCACATTCACATATCCTACATATGGCCTTAACAACAACAGACACTTCAAGCAACGCTGCTTAAATTAACGAATTGTTGCATGCTTATCATATAAAGCAAATTGATTAAAAAACTTATCAAGACTAGCTTAATTGAGGGCTGCTGTATTTCCCCTTGAATGTCTTTTTAATTTGTCCTGGGCTTAAATAAGACCATAGAGACAAAAGTCCATCAGGAATTAATTTAGAGATGGACCCAGAAAAAAAAAAAAAAATTAACGATAATGAAAAAATGGATTATACTTCTCTAAGCAAAAACTAGTTGTGCTTGACATTCTTCTGGTGTATATTCTACCTTCAAACTGTACAAAGGTTTGTGATCTCCTCATACAGTAGCTTGACAGAAGCTTTGAAATAAATACTGAATATTCATGAATAACACGAGCAGTGTATGTTGGCCAGAGCGCTTGGGAGAACATTCCTGTTGTGAGAGTCTGTGCCAGAACGCTGACCCAGCAGTCTTAATTGGGTTGCACAGACAACTCTGGCTCTGCTGGTGTGAGTGAGGAGATGTATTCCTTCGTTGGCTGGAATGTCTGATCTTACCCAAGCTGAACTCCTGCTGTTACAACACCTTGCACAGTTTTGATGGAAGTCAAGAAAATGACGGTACTCTGTCTTCCAACTGTTGTCTTTGCCTGCACAGCAAAATCCCCAGAGTTAAATCAACTCTGCTCAGAGTACATATTGTCCCAATCTACCGAGTGTTAAAGTAACACTGAAGCAGAGTTACCACTGTTGAGGATTATGTCATATGTTTTCATGCCTAAAAGCCTGAGCAGTAGTTGTTCATCTTCAACATTGTTACCAGTGGGTTTTCTTTACTAATGCTCACTCATCAATTAATTAATTGCTTAATTATCCTGTTAACTTTAACTTGGCTTCAGTGTTACTTTAACACTCTGTAGATTGGGACAATATGTACTCTGAGCAGAGTTGATTTAACTCTGGGGATTTTGCTGTGTAGCATCTTTCTTTATCATTCGATAGAAAAAAGAAAAAGAAAAAAAAAACATATGCAGAAACATAGTCTTATTTAACAGCTCAGATCTGCTGATCAGCAAGCATTTGAAGTGTCAGGCTGGGTGATGTAACAGCATCTTCCGTCCGGATGTTTTATTACTATAGATGAGCTGGATTTGGGGCTCATTTTTAATTTGCCCCTATATAAGTCTTATTATAAAAGCATAACTTCCTCCCTTGTGAATGCCAGCAGATCAAGGGCCATTATTTTGGAAATATTTTGGGCTCTGCTATTTAATTAGATTCCCCTGTATTCAGTTTAAAACAGTTTGTCACTTTAGGCACAAATGGGTTGCTGACATTAATAGGAATTATTAAGGGGACAAAACTCATTCTTGTAATTAGAGCAGATAACTGCAGTCACGTTGCAGAACACTTTTTTATTAACTCAGTCTGATTATTTCAGTGGCAGGCTAGTTGATAGAGAATTTATCTGGCTGTTCTGTCTGAGAGAAACAAACACATTTGGTGTGTCTTCTGTCAAAGGTGCATTCTGTTTGGTGCTAATTTAAAAAGTTTTACACATTAGGAAATAAACTGTTATCTGAATACATTCACATGAGATGAAGACTTAAAGTTTTCTATAAAAATAGTTTTAATTACTTGCGGTCCGGATCACCATGACGTGACCACTGACCACTAAACGTTAGAGACTCCTCGCGCTCCGCTCATTAGCTGCTGCCTCTGTAGATACGTTAGTAGTGTAGTGTAGTTTGGTGATGCGAGAAATTTTCACAACGAATTAATGTTAAATATTATTCTGTTTTACCAGTTTAACTGTACTGATTGTACGACCTGTAGATGCAAAAAAAAAAAGGTATGAAGCCAGAAGACAGAAAGATCAACAAAGACAAAAACGAGAGTAAACATCGCTATGGAAGACACAAGGTGGAAAGATTTGATGACGAAGAAAATCCTGAGTAGTGATGCCCAAGTTGCTTCTTTTTGTTGGGCAGGTAAGAGAATTAATTATTGTTAAAGTAACCATTCTCTAAAACTAGTATCCGTGTAATTTACATAAAATTTACAACAGATGACAGATCAGGGTCTAGAACCATTGGTGTACTTAAAAGAACACACAAAAAAGTGAAGCTAACGCTATAAAAAAACTAGCTACTGGTGGCACCTTATGTATGTTTTCAAACACTTATTTTATTCAATATGATTATAGGTACAATATTTACAGGTACCACAAACTTTGTAATCTGATTAAAATAATCGTGCACACCTGTATACATTTCAAACAAATCTTATGCGCATGTGCACAGCATCTGTCATCGCATTCAGAGAAAAGCAGAGAAAGTGATTATTGGCATTTTTACCTTGCTGACATATCTAAAAATGCTTTTTCTTACGTATTTTTATTTTTAATTATTATAGTAGGTTGCATGTAAGCATAGGTGCAGGTACATTTGCCAATAAAAATATCACACAAGTGCTATATATAGTAATATAACTATAGTTCTACATTTTACACACAGTATTGCAAGTTGCTTGTGGTCTGTTTTTGCTCCGCCAAGAAAAGTAATTTCAATCGAAGTCAAAGATGATTGCAAAATAAACAGCTACACCTCTGAACAACACCGATAGTGGTGTTTCGTTCCTGAATGAATCAGTGTTTTGAACGAATCGGTTGAATGAATGATTCAGTGGCTCATAAAGGTTTGTCGCCACCTACTGTCGTAATGATAATCCGCAGAAATAGTCACTAAATAATAATAGCCAATAGAAGAATGATGCCTTTGGGCCCTATTTTAACGATCTAAGCGCATGGTCTAAAGCGCACGGCGCAGGTGCACTCAGGCCGTCTCCGAATCCACTTTTGCTAGTTTAACGATGGGAAAAACGGTCGGTGCGCCTGGCGCATGGTCTAAAAGGGTTGTCCCTATTCCATTAATGAGTAATGGGTGTGTTTTGGGCTTAACGTGCAATAAACCAATCAGAGTCTCATCTCCCATTCCCTTTAAGAGCCAGTTGCGCTTTTGCCATGGCGGATTTGCTATTTACACGGCGGAATTTGCAAGTGCAAAGACAGAACACGTCTCCAGAGATGAAACGGAGGTGTTCGTGCGCGAGCAAAAATGTAGCCTAATTCTGATACATGCAATGACTATCCATTATGACATGTAGGCATTTTTATATTTATGTAGCCTACACAATAATAATACAATTATTGCAATTTACATTGCAATCTTTAAATTTTTTATATTTGGCATGTTTGTGTGCTGGTGTGCGTCCCTGTGTGTGTAATAAGCAGAGTGTACGCGCGCTGTGGACCCGCCTATACTAACGAGCTCTTTAAATAACAAAAAAACTACTGCACCATTGACTTTAGACCAGGTTTTTGTTGGTCAATGGCGCAGTCTATTTCAGTTGCCTCAAAATAGCAACGCACCAGCAATGCTCCTGAACACACCTTGTTTTCAGACCAGCACAAATGGGTGCAAATACATTTGCTATTTAAACAACGTGGCGCAGGACGTGAAAATGACAACTGCGTCGAGCTGAAACTAGCAAAAAACATTTGCATTGCGGGTGGCGCCCTAAATCTCCTTGGGTGTTTTTATTATTTAATTTTCACCTTCTTACAATATTGAGAACATTTGAATATTTCTGCTTTTATTTAAAGCCATATTCCCATTGAAAATGAGTGTTCATTTCTCCGCAATCTGTTCCTCATAATTTGAAGGAAACCACGCATTCACAATTGTCCCTCAGAAAATACAACATAAAAGCATTATTAAGTAAAAATAATACATTGACATTGTTAAATATAGTCATGGGGCTCACTATAAACTCAAACAATGAATATTGCCACGTTATATTCAGCCAAGACTTGAACATCAAGGTCACATAGTTTGGCTTTAATTAGGATTTGATTATTCTTGTAGTGCATAATGTACTATTCTGAGATTCATTGTGCTTCTGATGTCCCATCTTCCCATGATACTCAGAGGCATTTATAGTAACTAGCCCTGCGAATGCTGATTACCCTTTCAAGACACGGCAAATTGTACAGTAATTGTAAAGCAGAGTAAACCTACTGATTGGATATGTAAGAAAAAAATAATGGTGATGAACAACTCAGGAATTCCTTTATCTATATGAAAATGAATTTTCTTCAGTTGTTCTCAACTACGCTTTATCACAACGCAAGCATTTTGTACCTCCTCATTTTTGTCTTTGTGTTTGAGCTAGAGTGCAAATCCTGAATTATGCCATGGAAAACTTCAACTAATTGTGTCATGTGGGTTTAGCTCCTGGTGGCAACTCCAAGATATTGTTGTCAAGGGAACCTGGAACCAGTTTAGCTAGCGGGAGTCTTAAGGGGGAGAGTTAGGGAGGGAGGTTGAGGGAGGTATAAGCTCATGTGAGGCAATTATTAGTGTTATAAATAACAGCACGAACATACACAACTGCATTATGTATGAAGAAATGAGTTTCAGAGGCATATACCATGTTGAAGACCTGTACTATTTTATCTTGTGTGTGAGGTCAGTACAATTAGCCTAACTGCATAATTGATATGATATTTGAACCAAAAGTGTTTACACAACACAAGCAAATATAATATTTAAAAACAATCAGAAGTACAAATAAGAACGCCTGGTTCTAGCAATGACTAAGTTAAAACACCTGCTTCTTATATGTCATTCACGCAGTGAATTCCTGGCTAATTATAAAATCTTTCTCTTCAGATAAAGAGTTCATCCGTTAAGTTCTGCAATTTACTTGAAGTGACAGCAGGTGTTTAAATATCCACAGTATTAAATTGTTTAGGGACACAGAGACTAAGAAGCGGTAATTTCTCAAAAGAACATTATTCAGGCTTTTTATAAATATCCTAATATCTATAAATACCCTAATATAACTGAATGACACCCAAATAAACTTTACCAGTGAAATCAACTTATTGTTTGGGCCTTTACTTGTTTTACAAGACTACAGTTACAGGTTTCACATTGTGGTAAATAGGACAGTATTGATCTGATAACACTCTAGCATCAGTATTGACAAGACTTTACACAGAGGAATGATGCTGTGCTTCACATGCCATGTTCGATCTCACCTGATCTGAAAATGAACTAACCTTCACGCTATTATGGACAAAGCAGCAGAGTGCAGTTGGCTTCAGGTCACCGGTCTATTGATTGTTGACTGATTACAAAACTAACCACTACATGCTTTGCAAAGGCATATTTGAATCATGTGTCATTTAGTGACTGGTGAAGGAAGAGTGGAAACCAGTTGAGCGCTACAAAAGCTTAATGTAATGCAATTATTACTGAGTTCAGAATCTGTCTTGCATCAATACAGCACACAGACATGAACTACACAGATAATAGTGTTACACGTACACACATAAACACAACTATAAAGATTAAAACACAGAACGAGCCACAGACCACACAGGCAATGACAAGATGAGCTATAAAGCTGTGACATTGGGATTTCCTAGACAAATATCAACCACTAAAGAGCAAGGAAATGTTTTTGCAAGAAAAGTTCCAATAAATTTGTTTAGCTATTATATCATATCAACAGTTTAATGCATGTAAAATTAGAGATGCAACACTATTAAAATCCTGTATTAAATTGCTTTATTTGACAATTCCATGCTAATTTGTCTGATAAATTACAAATGAAAATGCAAAATAATTTTAGATTATTGTGATTGTGATTTATTGAGTGTTGATGATGCCGATGGTAATCTAAATGTAAAAACAGACTGAAATAAATATAAAATATTGACTGATACCCAGGGTTAACTAAAACTAAAACCACAAAACAATTTGTGTTACTTAATAAAATAAACGTTGACTTAAATAATATATATAGTTGTGTAAAATGAATGGAAATTCAAAATAAAGTCATGAACTACTGAATGGTTTACTTGTTTTGCTTATCTTATTTACAGTATGTACAGAACTTGAATGAGGATATATATCCCCTCACTCACAGATCAGTATGATTATATAGGCTGTTAAATGTATTCCTTAAACACACACACACACACACACACACACACACACACACATATATTTCAGCTCAGCTAGTTGCCAAGACAGCATTTCTAATTTTCATTTATCTTGAATTACTTGAATAAATACCTAAATAACTAAAACTAAATTTGAAAAAACAATGAAAAATATAAACATCAAGAAATAGGAAAAATCACAAAAACACAACAAAATTACTTAACCTTTAACGAAAATTACAATTAAAACAGAAAATATAAAAACTAATTCAAAATATTATCTCAATCACAATGATATTAAAATAACTGTGCTGATAACCTTGGTGATAAACTTCATAAATAATCTGATAACTGCTACTATTGCTATATAAAATGTACGTAAAGCAATGTTAAATATATCAAACTGAACTGCTTATGTTACAATTTAAAAGCATGTGTTGAAGTTTTTCCCTATTTTTACAGCTTGAATATGTGATCTATTTTGTGATTGTGGCAACAAATCCTGCACCATAACTAAACATAAAGCTAAGATTTAAATCCACGTGTGTCCCATGTGTTCATCTGAAATGCTCATTTCTATTGTCCCCATTCTATTTCTTGTGACAAGCCTTGCCTGATGTGAAAAACTCAATTTTCTACTCCACAGAGTTGCCCTGAATTAAATAAAAAAAGCCTGTGTTAGCTGTTGTGCTGTTAGAAATTTGTGATGGCAGAGACACACTGTGATTTTTATTTCTGTTAGGCTAAAAGGTGGAGGTTAGACATGTGATGGTCAAAGCTTTTCCATTAGTTATCATCACCATGCAGCGAGAACGGATGTGCTGTTTCACTCTGGCGGTAGCTGCAGTAGTAGCCCACCTTGTTTGTCACCGTGAGGAGGGGCTTGCCTTCTGAGGACGCCTTATTGGGTATCTCCTTCAGGACCATGGCAACGGTCTTATCTGCAGCCCTAGAGTCTTTCCCCTACAACAGTGAAATCAACAATGACTTGTGTCAGGACAGAATGTTTAGATATTCCAAGTATTATTCGTCCTACTGTGCTTAAAGGCTCAATGATTTATATGCTATACGATTGACATGATTACACTGAAAGCAAAATGAAACACTGCCTGAAGCCACACATGAAAACAGCTGTATGGAACATCAATACATTCTTTCTCACATCATCCTCAGTTTTACTCTGCGTGATGAAGTGCGATATCACAAAGAGGCCACCGCAGTCATGCGAGTGATAGGGCGACTGTCGTCAACTGCTTTTATCTGTGCTACAGAGACAGAGACGTATGGCCAGTCTGAACAGGGAAGACAGCATCATATTACTCCAAGGCCAAGTTATATAATGGGTTAAATTGAATTGGCAAGCTCTAGTCAGCTTGCCTTAACTTGCTCTGAGTGAATGCAATGTCCAGAGAAATTACACTTACATTAACCTCTAAAATATATTAATAACAAAGCCAAAAGTATGGACAAAAGTATATATCCATCTATTGTTCTGTCTATCATTCTATATATTGTTATACTTTCTTATAAAGTTTCAAACCTCAAAAAGTTTTCAGAACAAGGCTTTGTCAAGCCAACATTCAAAGTTTGTCTAGACCAGTTTTGCTTTTTTACAAAAAATGTAAATGACAAATACGAACTCAATTCTAATAAAAAAATAACAATTTAAAATTCAACTAATTTTAATTATGCTTATTTACATGGTGGGCCCTCATAAAATCATAATCAATAGCGAAACATCCATTTCTAAAGTCTGTCGGCTTCATTCAAAGTTTGTCTTGACAAATTTAGCTTTTTTTAACTTAAAAATGACAAATACTAACTCAATTCTAAATAGAAATAGAGTAAAAATTACATTTAAAATTCAATTTTAATTATACTTATTTACATACAAATTTAAATTTACAGATACAGTGTGCCCTCATAAAAACATAATCAATGACTAAACATCCATTGCTAAAATCTCTCCATCCATCCATCCATCCATCCCTCCATCTATCCATCCATCCACTGATTGTTCTTTCTGTAAAGTTTTAAACTATTTTTCAAACCAAAGATTTGTCAAGGCATAAAATTCTAATTATTCCTTCATTTACTTATTTACATTCAAAATTCAAATGTAGATATGGGCTGCCTTAATAAAAACATAATCAATGGCAAAATATCTGTCTAAGCATTTCTTTTTCCTATTGTTTTATCTATTTTTTTTTTTTTAATCATTCTGTCATTGTTATGTCTGCAAAGCCGGGCTCATATTACAGGAGTTTTAAGCGATTTATCCCAGATTTTCCCCTCCCGAGATTCGGAGAGAAAATGTTGTTGAGGACCTCGGTCGGTTCCGATAGTCGGCACGGATTATTTGGTAATGTGAGGTGTTTACAGATCGAATCTTGCACTTCCCGATCTGCTCGCACACAAATCGGGGCCTCCCCAATCATATCAAACATGTTTGATATTTAGGATTTTAAATCGGGAAGATGACGGCTATGATTAGATCAGTACTATCACAGTAGCCAATGCGCGACCGCAAAACAAGCTGCTGTACGGGCCCGTTGGATAGTGGAGATGGAGGGTACTGCTTGTGGAAGTTTTGCAATAACACAACTGTCTGTATAATGTGTCGAAAGCGTACTACAACCGTAAGGACTGTAGAAAGCTGCTAAGCACGCTAGGTAACATATGTAAACATTTGTTGAAACATCAATGACGATCTGCTGCATGAAATCACGCGAGGCGCTCCCTTCGACATGATAATCTTGAGAATATCTTGTAGTGTGTGATGGGCCACAATTTTCAGATCTTGTAGCGTGTGGTGTGCATGTTTAAATTTTCAGGGAAAAAAATCTGCAAAGATTCTACTTATGTGTGTGCTACAACCAGATTTCATAATCGGTTACGATTTTAAAACTCTTATAGTCTGAGCCCGGCTTAAGGCCTTGCAGGCTTTTTAAACTTTCCCCCCCAAAACTTTCAAAGAAGGATTTGTCAAGCCAACATTCAAAGTTGTTTTTAACAAATTAATTAAAAATGTAATAAAACATTGCAAATTACTAATTCTAATTAAAAATGTATTGCTATTCTACTGCTATTCTACTTACATTCAAATTTGAATGCAGATATGGACCACCCTCATAAAAAAAAAAATCAATTGGCAAAGCATCCATTGCTAAAGTCTCACACATGCTGTACAGTAAAAATCTGATCTGGCCAGTTTGAACAGTCAGCCTTAAATAAAACACCATGCACCTCTACATTTCAAATTCTAGTCTGGTGTGGTGACTTCGGCATTAGATTTCATAAATATGAAATAGTGCATCCTTGCAAAATCTTGTTCTATTAAAAAACCTTTTTAAATTTACACCTTAAAACTTTCCAGCCATCTTTTTTCAATAAAATGTATTCCCTGACGGTCTAATCTAGCATGGCTCTGCCATTAGAGATAAGAAAAGTAATCTCTCTCTCTGAATCACAATGTGGTCATTCTTAAAACGAGAAGTGCTCAATTCATTCACTCTACCCTGTGATTGTGTCTTAGTGGTCTAGTGCCATTGTGTGTACGTGACCTGAGAGACATCTCTCCAGAGAACATAATGCTATTAATGGAGACCAAAAACACTTGTTTCTGAAGACAAACTTCTACATCTTACTAGACTGATATAAAGTGTAAGTGTTTTTTAATAAAAAATGTAAACAGTCTTTACAAGGGGACAGATACTAAAATACTTTTCTTATTCTAATGAGAAGCGAGTATAGACAAAAATTTTATTTAAAAAAAACTTCAACTGTTCTCCATAAAAAAAATATGATATTACTTAAGTCTGGGGTCTCACAGACTCCAGATATAAAACACGAATAGTTTAAATAAATGTAATATAATAAAAACGTAACTGTTATTGCCTTTGTGATATCAATGTAATAGAAAATATTGCCTGTATTTTTATCTGGAAAAACAATCTGCATGTACACTACTGTTCACATGTCTGGGGTTGGTAAGATTGTTTGAAAAATATTTTTATTTCCTTTATTTTGATCTTTGATACCAAAGATAAAAATTAAGAAAATAAGATTCCAAATCTTGTGCACACCAAAACTGCATTTATTGATTTATTTTTTGCAAAATTGCAAAAATATATATATATATATTTTTTTAAATTATGACAATTTAAAATAACGTCTATTTTATATATTTTAAATGTAAAGGTATTTCTGTGATGTCAGAGCGAAATGTTTAGTAGCCATTACTTTAATCTTCAGTGTCACATGATCCTTCAGAAATCATTCTGATATGCTGAATTGGTGCTCAGAACATTTCTTGCTATAAGCTATAGCATTTGTGCTGCTATATTTTGTGGAAACTCTGATACTGTGATTTTTTTCCAGGATTCTTTGATGAATAGAATGTTCAAAATAAAAGCATTTATTTGAAATAGAAAACTTTTGTAACATTATAAATGTCTTTACTGTCACTTAAGGTGAAATTAAATCATCCTTGCTGAATAAAAGAAGACATATAATGACAATTTAAAATAACGTCTATTTTATATATTTTAAATGTAAATTTATTTCTGTGATGTCAGAGCTAAATGTTTAGTAGCCATTTGTAATGTGGGGTTTGGGTTTTGGGTTTTGTTTCATGTTCATGTTTTCATGTCTTTCACCTTCGCCAAGAAAACCGGGCCATAGAGGGTTAGGTGGAGGATTTTTGTGAACTTTCTAACCGGGTGGACTTTAATGATGTGGCGTTAAAGGACCTTTTTCGGATGGGTCTGAATGAGCCCATTTGCTCCCAGCTTCCTGGGGGAAGAGTTCACTGGTCCCTTGCTGAATATATAGACTTTGCTCTGCAGTTGAGTGGATCTGCTTTCACTGTGGGTGTCGTGGAGAAGGAACACGGCACTAAACCAGAACCAGAGTCTGCTCACGTCACGTCTGCTACACCAAAGCCTGCTAACGTCTTGTCTGCCAAGCCAGAGCCTGATAATGTCATGTCTGCAGAACCTCCAAAGGTGGCGGCATCCGCTGCAGAACCTCCTGAGGTGGTGGCGTCCGCTTCCGAACTCACTGCCTGCCCTGTAACGGCCATGGAGGCCGTTCATGAACTCACTGTCTGTCCTACCACGGCCAAGGAGGCCGTTCATGAACTCACTGTCTGTCCTGTCATGACCATGGAGGCCGCTCACGAGCTCACGGTCTACCCTGTCACGTCCACTGAGGTCGCTCACGAACTCGCTGCCTGTTCTCCTACGGCCATGGAGGCCATTCATGAACTCACTGTCTGTCCTGCCACGGCCAAGGAGGCCGTTCATGAACTCACTGTCTAGCCTGTCATGACTAAGAAGGCTGTCCATGAATTCATTGCCTGCCCTGTCACAGCTATGGAGGCCGTTCAATAACTCACTGTCTGTCCTCTCACGGCCAAGGAGGCCATTCAAGAACTCTCTGCTTGCTCTGTCACAGTCAAGTGGTCTGTCCATGTCTCTGCTCTGCCATGGCTTCCTGCTCTGCCGTTATCACCCAGCCGCCCTGCTCTGCCTGCTCCGCCATGGCTCCCTGATCTGCCTGCTCCGCCATGGCCCCCCGCTCTGCCATGGCTCCCTGCTCTGCCTGTTCCGCTTCACGGGCGGGTTTGGGTTTTGGGTTTTGTTTCATGTTCATGTTTTCATGTCTTTTATTTTGTAATTGGTTCACCCTGTTAGTGTCATGCTTCCCTTCCCCTCTTGTCTTCATGCTATTGGTTCCTCTGTTCATTGTGTCATGTTTTGGTTGGTAGTCTTAGTCATGTGTCTTGTTCCCCATTGGTTTGTTCATGTCATGTGACCCTCTTGTCTGCTATAAGTAGCCATCATGTTCCCATTGTGCCTGGTCGTGTATTGACGTTGTAACCCGCTGTCGGTTAGTCTAGTCTGTTCTAGTCAAGTCTGTTCATGCCTCGTCAAGTCTGTGTATCTAGTCTTCGTCTGTTT